GTCGAGCTCCAGACTGTCTCTGAATCTCAAAGTAGGCAAATTCAATTAAAGAGGCGGAGGAGGAGGAGGAGGAGGATGTATTACCGCAGCGGTCCCATTGAGGAACAAGCGGGTACTGAACCTACATACACTATACCTCGAAAAATATATGCTGTGTACCGTACAACATATCCGAGTTCCTTTCATACTTGCACAGGCCAAATAAGTTGACTTGTTCTGAGCAGGGTAGAAAAGAAAAAATTCCATCCATTGCTATTCGGATATGGGGAGTCGAACCCAGACTCCCTCATAAACGAAGGGGCGCAACAAGAGGAGGAGATGTACCGTACACCATGTTCGAGTTCCTTCTCTCCCTGTGCACTTGGATAAATTAGCATGTTGCTGTAATCAAGGTAAAACAAATATGCCGATGTACCATTTGGACACGAGGAGTAGAACCTCGGGCTGCCTCTCATTTACTCGTTGCTAAACGTGCTAACGAGAGAGGCTGTGTATCTTACACCATGTCCGAATTCTTATCCCTCCCGCGAAGCTAAATAAGGTGGCATTTTCCGTGGACGTGAGCTGGAAAAAAAAAGCCGACTCACAAACTACTTATTCGAACACGGGGGAGTCGAACCCCAGACTGCCTCTGAATCTTTGACCAACCGATCAATCGAAGAGGCGGTGTACCGTACACCATGTCCGAGTTCTTATCCCTCCTGCGAAGCTAAATAAGTTAGCATTTTCCGTGGACACGAGCTGAAAAAAAGCCGTGACAATACCAAGCTCCTATTCGAACACGGGGAGTCGAACCCCGATCGGCCTCTGAGAATCCTGGCAGAACGTCAACAGAAAGAGGTGGTGTACCGTTCCCGTACACCATGCCCGATTTATAGAGCAACCTGCGAAGCTCAAAAAAGCCAGCATTGGCCGTGGACGTGAGTCCAAAAAAAAGCAGTAAGTATATCAAAATATTCGGACACGGGGAGTTGAACCCCGCACTGCTTCTGAAATTCTAATCTACACTGCCTATAAGGAGAAGCGGTGAAGCGGTGTACCCTACACCATGTCCGATTTCTAGTTCAAGCTGCGCAGCTAAATAAGTGAGCATTTTCCGTGGACGTAAGCTGAAAAAAAAGCCGTACACCAACAATTACTTCTTCGAACACGGGGAGTCGAACCCCATTCTGCCTTTCATTCTGCATTGGCAAAATCTTGCTAATGAGAGCGGCGCTGTACCGTACACCATGTCCGATTTCTTATCCCTCCTGCGAAGCTAAATAAGTTGGCCTCGTTTCTCATGGACAAGTTTGAAAATAGTACCGCACCTGGGGCCAGATATTCGAACACAGGGAGTCGAACCCCGACCTGCTTCTGAAAACTCCCCGCTACTTTCAGAAGGTGAGAGGCGGTGCACCTTACACCATGCCCGATTTCTTATCCCTCTTGCGAAATAGAACAAGTTAGCCTCCCTCAACCCCCATGGATAGGGTTGAAAAAAAGACCGCCGAAAACAGTCATTCGGACACGGGGAGTCCAACCTCGACCTGCCTCCGAAAATCCCGTCCATTGTATAGTCATAAGATGAGAGGTGTACCGTACACCATATTCGAGTTCTTGACCCTGCGTAGGTTGGCGACTATTTTGGGCGGTGGGAATGTACAACTAATCATGAGGGAGCGGGAGAAACGCGATCACGCGACGGCGCCAACGACGCGACCGGTATAAATAGAGGTTAAGTGCGATCATACCTCAGATGTGGCGTCAATTGAAAGGGCTTCAAGGGGCAGGGTCAATTGAATGAATTGAGGGAGTTGCGTCGGTAATTGTTGATTGAGGAGCAGGGTGGATTTAAGCGTTGACGTTGTGATTGCTGCAATTGACTTGGAATGGAGGCGCCGCCAAGGGGTGGCGAAAACCGTAATTCAAGATGGGCGCCGCGGCCAATTTGCGCTGACGGAGTCAATGCAATAATGCGCTGCAAATGAATGAAACATACCTCGCCGTCTGCACAGGGCGGAGACATGCGGAAAACGAACAAGAAATAAAACATACCTCACCTCTGTACACTGGACGGAGAAATGCGGAAAACGAACCCCAAAAGGACATCGCCGAGAAATGAACCACAGTACAATAAAAGTTAGAACGCCTCACACCATATGGGGACTAAGCGAGCGAAAATCACGACAGACGCCGTTTCAGGTTAGGCCGTGCTTCCGAAGATGTCAAGGGTTACGTACGCCTCTGTACTTGGCGCAATATTTGTGCGATGGGCGCGGATGAAAATGCACGGCGGGAATGCAGGGAATTGAGCGGGGGCGGATGTTTGAGCTCTTTGGGTGGATCCGGGTAAATACCGAGATGCTGTGGCGCGGTCGACGGTCGTACGAGATTGTTGTTTTTGCTTTTATCAGGATGGTGGCGTTATATATTCGCTGCGCGCTCGGAGGGAACTCGGGCAGACTAAGCGGGCGGTATTTGCAATGGTATTGCCTCCGGCTGGGGAAAATGACCGTGTGTGGGGTTATTTCCAATGCATTTTTTTCGCGGGAAAGTTTCTTTGTTTTTCTTCTTGCGAGATGGATTCTACGCAACGAGGCAGGTAGGAGGGGCTATGCCCTGAAGCGAGGAGGGGAAGCGAAACAAGTGAGAGGAAGTTAAGGGGATCATACAAGCGAGGTGTCAAATGGAGTTTGTGCATGCGGGGATGTGTTTGTATGTCAGCTGCTGTTCTTATATGGACCTGAAATGATCAGCATTTGACCGCCCCTTGTCCTTCTCCTCCTCCTTCTCCTCCAGTCTAGTCCCCTGCCAAAACAATGAGCGACATCGAGAAAGGCGAAGTTCACAACGGTGGAGCAGGCAGCCGTCTGACCGGCGCACCCCGGCCCAGCGGCGTGGCCAACCCCGCCGCGCTGGGACTCTTCTCCTTTGCGTCCACGACCTTCATCCTCAGCTTCTACAACGTCGCAATCCGCGGCGTCACCCACCCCAATGTCGTCGTCGGCATGGCCCTCTTCACCGGCGGCCTCGCCCAGCTCCTCGCAGGCATGTGGGAGTTCCCCCGCGGGAACGTCTTTGGCGCGACCGGTGCGCATCCGTCTTCCTTGCCTAAACAGTATCCGTGAATCATGTCACTTACGACGCCTGCCTGCCAGCGTTCACGTCGTACGGCGCGTTCTGGCTCTCGTACGCGACCATCCTCCTCCCCGGCTCCGGCATCATCGCCGCGTATGACGGCAACGAGAGCGAGCTCGACTCTGCGCTCGGCATATTCCTCTTTGCGTGGTTCATCGTCACCTTCCTCCTCCTGTACGTCTTTGTCCTTTGTCTCCTATTTTTTTCCCCATTCTTCCCCTGGTTATCTCCCCTCTGTGTCATTTAATTCCACGACGCACATGCACCACCCCCGCCCATCCATCCTATCCCCCCCATTCTTCTTTTTTTGTTTCATCCTCTTTCTTCGCTTCGCTTCCCGCGCCCTTGCGTTACGCGGGGATCTCACACGCCATGCCGGCATCTCATCCGCGCTCATCTCGGCTACTCGCCTCGCCCGTCCGTTCCGTTCAATTCCCCTGACGTTAGGATTTATCCGAACGCCGATCTCACTCCGCTTTGGCGCCCTTTTTTTTCTCTTCTTTTGGCGCGCCGCATTCCCATTTGTATTTCGTTTCCCGTACCTTACCGCGCTACTCGTATCTGTTTGATCACTTCTCCGCCATCCACATCCTTATCCACATCCATCTTTCACTCGGCTCCCCACATCTTTTTGGTTGACGACTCTACTCTGCTCCCCGCTCTCCCACATCCACTTTTTACCCCGTTCTGTTCATTTATTTATGCATCCGTCCATTTTTCTACCCTTCCTTCCCACACTGTCCTCATCAACTGCAACTCCCGCTTCCCTCTTACTCCGCACCCCATCCGCACCCTTTACACACCCACCTTTCACTCCGCGTCCCACGCCCCGCCATTTGCCCGTCGGCGCGCATCTGATCCCGCGTCACGCGGACGCGTCAATTGGTGTTTGCTGGGCGCGTGAGTTCCGCCGGAGAATCGCCGGCCCGAGCGGGTGGGAAGGCGCGTTTGACGCCTTGCGTTCTTTTTTTTTCCTCCGTGGTTAATCGACTCCACTTCGGGTGTTTCGGCTTCCTTCCTTCCTTCCTTCCTTCCTTCACATCCCTTTTCTCTTTTACTCCCATCTTCCTCTCCCTTCTTTTTCTCGATCCTCTTTTCCAACGATCAAAACTCAAAACCGTGGAACGATAAACTGACCTCATTTATTTCACAACATAACAGGATCGCCTCCCTCCGCAAATCCATCGCGTTCATCGCGCTATTTGGCTTCCTTAGTATTACGTTCGCGTTGCTTGGCGCAGGCAAGTTTAGTGGGGTTACCAGGTGGGTTTTCTGTTTTGTTTTCTTCGTTTCTCTCCCTGTTCCTCGCCCCCTTCCACTTTTCTCCTGCGTGCTTGAAATCAACCTTTCTTGGAATGTAACTGACATGCCCGCAGCGTAACCACCGCCGGCGGCGCCTTCGGCATCATCACCGCCTTCATCGCCTACTACATTGGGCTCTCAGACCTGCTTGCGGCGGAGCGGGCGTCGGTTGTGGGGCTGCCGACTGGGGGGTTCAAGCATGATTGATTGATTCCCGCCGAGTCTCGCAGAGATTGAGGGAGAAGAGGAGTAGTGTGGTATAGCCTTATATTACCTGACAACCTACCTTTACCGTTTTTCCCTCTCGATGTATGGATATTCCTTTTTTCTTTGTCTTTGTTGTTTTGTGAGACGACGGTCCAGAAGTAGAGGGGCAGACATTCTTTTTTGATTTAAACTTTTTCGAAAAAATGTAGTTAGATATATATAACTAACTTCAGATAGACACACTCTTTTTAATAGCACGTTCGTTTTGGTTTCGTTAATTAACGAGCAGCGGGAACGGGAGGAGGGGAAGGGAGAGAAGGGAAGGGAAAAAGGAAAGGGAGTAGAAGGAAAAGGAGGGCAAGAGAAGAGAATCAGACATGGTGTAGGGAACACTGTCTCGAAGCATACACATCAATGTAAGATGCGAGGTCGTCCCAGGTTCGATTCCTGGTGTCTGAATGGGTCATTGAGGTCGAGGATTTTTTTTTTTTAAGTGGCGCGGATGCTTTACATATATTAGAGGGGAGGGACGGAGGGCAAGTGAATCAGACATGGTGTAGGGAACACTGGCTCGACGCATGGGTGGGAATTGAGAGCGTACGAGGCCGTCCCGGGTTCGATTCCTGGTGTCTGAATGCGGCGATGCCGAGAGGCTCTTTATTTTTATTTTTATTTAGGGGGGGGAGGGGGGCCTGCAGAGTTTTGTAGATAGAGGGAGGGAGGACAAGAGAGAAGAGAATCAGACATGGGGTAGGGAACACTCTCTCGAAGCATAATAGTTCATCCTGTTGGGTGCGAGATCATCCCAGGTTCGATTCCTGGTGTCTGAATGAGTGCGACTACGAGTGGTTTTTTTTGGGGGGAGCGCGTGGACTTTTTTTGGATAGAGGGGTGGGAAGGGAAGGGAAGGGAAGGGAGGAGACAAGAGAAGAGAAGGGAAGGGAAGGGAGGAGACAAGAGAAGAGAAGAGAATCAGACATGGTGTAGGGAACACTGCCTCGATGCATATATTGCGAGTTGATTAGCGTCCGAGGCCGTCCCAGGTTCGATTCCTGGTGTCTGAATGGATCGACAGACTCGCAGTGTCTTTTTTTTTTTGGTCATGCGGATTTTTTGGGTAGAGGGAAGAAATGGGTGGGAGGGAGGACAAGAGAAGAGAATTAGACATGCCAGTGTAGGGAACATTGCCTCGAGAGATACGAGGTTGATTGCGTGCGAGGCCGTCCCGGGTTCGATTCCTGGTGTCTGAATGGAGGGATTGTTATTCGGATTTTTTTTTCGGGGGCGTGCGGATTTTTTGGCCATCCCAAGTTCGATTCCTGGCGTCTGAATATACCGACCACAACTGTGGATTTTTTTCAAAGCATATAACGGTTGCAGTATAAATATTGTGGGTAATCCTAACGTGAACTTAGAAATTATCGTGCTGGTGACTTGACCTTGTTGAATTGCACGTACTTCACCGACCTGAAAAAGCATGGAAGGGAATTCAGACATAGTGTAGGGAACACTGCCTCGAAATATACCACGGCGCGTATGTCCAGTCCAAGGCCGTCCCGGGTTCGATCCCTGGTGTCTGAATGGAACGAACAAGTATGTTTGTTTTGGCGGGGCGTGCGGATTTTTTTGGATAGAGAGCCTCGGAGGGAGGGGAGGAAGGGAGGGATGGGTGGAAAAGAGAATATTACCCAGACGTGGTGTAGCGAACACTGTCTCAAACCATAAGCAATGCTTGTAGCGTGCGAGACCGTCCCGGGTTCGATTCCTGGTGTCTGAATGGGTAGAGTGACATGCGACTTTTTTTGATCGTGCAGATTTTTTAGGATAGAGGGATGGGAAGGAAATATGACGTTCCTGATGTTGCAAAATCAAATCCGGGAAAAAAACTTGAGTTCCCAAAAACTTTCTTTTGTCAGATCTCGGAATCCATCTAGACCACATCCCAGCATGATAAAAATATTGATACCAAGTCTCAAGCGAATAGAGCTGCGTGAATGTTCAAATGTGTTGAGAACGGTGAATGGCAGTGCCACACGTGACGCTTGGCAAGTTCCGTAGCTGTCCGAAGTTAATATACGACTCAGGTCCTCTCAGCCTTCATAGGGAGGGGTGTGTACTGGCTGGGACCCAAATTTCTGAGTATGCCATCTTTAGTCTTTTTAGTTTTTTACCTGATGACATCAAAAGAATTCTAGCACAAGTAATTGATGTCCTCGGCTCTACCATTCCCTACTCACCCCACCATTTCTCACATTAAGTTGTCAGGATTTGGCTTCTCATGCAAAGCAAACGAAGCACTCAATCTTGCCCTCGGAATGTCCCGCCCACCATCAAACTGACTTGATGCGTAGTTTAGATCATATCGCCAACATAAGCCGATGGGCTTGAGAATGAACATCGTTGACTCATATACTGTACACGAATGCAGTCTAGAGGGATTCTTGGATTTCACAAAATAAAGTTTTTGGGAACTCATTTTTTTTTTCCCGGATTTGATTTTGTAACATCGCGAACGTCATAAGGAAAGGAAGGCAAGAGAATCAGACATGGTGTATAGAACACTGGCGGCTCGAAGCATATATAGTATTCAATGTGGTACTAGTAGCGTGCGAGGGCCAGGTCCTCCCGGGTTCGATTCCTGATGTCTGAATGTTGCCTCAACTCACTTCTTTTTTCTTGGCGGGGCGAGGATTTTTTGGATAGAAGGGAGGGAGGGAAAGAAAGGCAAGAAAATCAGACATGGTGTAGGGAACACTGGCTCGAAGCATCCACAGTTATGCGAAGATGTTAGCGTGCGAGGCCGTCCCGGGTTTAATTCCTGGTGTCTGAATGGACGGATCGTTGTTCGGTTTGTTTTTTGTTTTTGGGAGGAATTTTATCGAAGGGGGAGGGAGGGAGTGGATAGGAGGGAGGACAGGAGAAGAGCATCAGACATAGTGCAGGGAACACTGTCTCCAAGCATATATATGATACAGTTATGCAATTGGTAGCGTCGTGGGTTCGATTCCTGGTGTCTGAATGGAGCGAATGAGTATCTTTTTTTTTTTTTCTTTTTGGGGGGGCGGAATTTTTGAATAAAGGGAAGGAAGGGGCAGGAGAATATTACTCAGACATGGTGTAGGGAACACTGTTTTGAAGTATGCCTTATTTCCGATGTTGGTGCGTCCGAGGCCGTCCCGGGTTCAATTCCTCGTGTCTGAATGTTGCGTCGACTGACTTATTCTTTTGGGGGTGGGGGAGGATTTTTGGGATAGAGGAGGGAAAGATGGGCAAGAGAAGAGAATCAGACATGGTGCAGGGAACACTGCCTCGAAACATAATAACGACGCTTGTCGTCCGAGGCGGTCCCGGGTTCGAGTCCCGGTGTCTGAAATGTATGACGATTGAACGAATTTTTCCCTTCTTTTTTTTTCTTGGGGGGAGGTTGTAGATTTCGTTCAAAACATAACCGCTAGGGTATAAATATTGTGGATAAGAAAAGTTACTGTGCTGGCGACTTGACTTTGCGATTGCCAACCAGGAGGGAAGGGACTTGAATCGCATGTACATACTTCACAGACCTGAACTGAAAAGCACGGAAGGGAATTCAGACATGGTATAGGGAACACTGCCTCGAAAAATAGGACGACGCATATGTGCAGGCCGAGCCCGTCCTGGGTTCGATTCCTGGTGTCTGAATGGAAGATTGACGACGGGATTTGTTTGGGTTTGTGGAGACTTTTACAGTGCTAGCGAGGTTAGCATGGACATCCGTGCTTACTGTTCCATTTCCCGCCGTTTGGTAGTGTTGAGGGATATAATACAAAAAGAAAGGATGTTGAACACTTTTTGGTTTGCTGTTCAACGTGCGGTTGCGAAACCCGGAGCCGCACGTTCTCAACCAGCTCTTGCCGTTTAGTAGAAAGAACTTAGACATGGTATAGGTAAATAACACTGCCCTGAAGCATTGCAGGAGTCTGCTTTGGAGTAAGAGGCCGTCTCGGGTTCGATTCCCGGGTTCTGAACTGGGTGTCCTTGTTGAGAATTTTCCCTTTTTCATGAGAGATATGTTACTTACTGCAATATAATGACAATCCAGTGCGGCTGTGTTGAAGCGCTGGATCGTTTCGCAGCACATGGTCCAAGTTTCCATTCAACAACAAGGACGAAGAGACAAGAGACGAGCTGAGAGAACACCCCATGGAGGAAACGTACCTAGCCCATCCTAGCAGTAAGCAAAGGAACTCAGATATGGTGTGGACTGCCTCAAAGCATTGATGATGACCATCCATAGTTTGGACGTCGTCCCGGGTTCGATTCCCTGTGTCTGAATGGCACTTCTTGGTTGGAGGCTTTTTGGGTGTGTAGATGTTTTATGTGAGTGGGTAGCACCGCTCTACAGCAATACCACGACATTTGCTCGCTATTCTCCTCGATGTCGCGGTATTACAAGGATATCGCTCATCTTTTTGCGGGCTGTTCAGCTTCCTGTTGCTTGTGTTCAATGTATTTGAGGCTTTTAGGGAAGGGTTTTCTGCAATATCTTTGCATGTTGTGTATATTTGGTGGCACGAGCCGGCCACGAGTGAGGAGCTCAGATGACGTTGTACCGAGAATGAAGCCATCTCCTGAACTTCAGGAGCACAAAGGGACTCTGAAACATCTTCGTCACTGTCCAATACAGCCTGTAGAGCACCCTAGAAACACCGAAGAGCATGTTTGCGCTAGTCTCTCATAGACAGACACTACAACAATCTGGTGCTCGTACTTCGAAGTTCGCATGTTGTATGTTTGCGCTGCAGAACCAGATGGACTCGGAGATGGACACAACGAGTGTACTGGCACCTTTATAGCTCCGTGAACGAGAAAGGCTTCAGCATCGTCTTGGTAGCGTAAATTATGACTATCCTGCTCCCAGTCTAGCAGCAATATCTCCGCTGACGTGTGGGAGCGAGCTGGGCGTCAACAGAGCAATATCTGCAACTGTGATGCTGCTGCCTGTTGGTTTCTCGGTGTTCACGTCTGGCAACAAGTCTGTGCCGAGTCTGACAGTGAAACCACACGTCAGCAAAATCTGTGGCTGACACAGAGCAATACCTAGTGTACCTGACTGACCCTGGCAGTATATAAAGGAACTCAGATGTCGAGTAGGTCAGTAACATCACCTCGAAGCTTTGGCCCGCAAAGCAAATGACAGCTATCTCGCGGCCACCCTCAGAGGAAAGTTCGTATTTCCCGAGCTCGAGCGTACTTATGTATAACAATTTTTCAATGGTAGGGCATGCCGTCGTCGGCCGAAGCGGAGTTTAAAATACTTCGGCCAAAAGAAAGCCAGACAGCGCGCCGCTTGATCATCGCCTTTCGAGGGTTTTGGAGTTATCAAGCGTAAGCACTCCCTCATTGCCGTCACGGATAGTTTTAATCCGCCGAAAGGGAACATGTCAGACGCGTTCTTCAGCCAATTCCCAGCGACGCACCGTGCGGCGATGGCCAGCGCTCTTCCGGGCAGTATCGTCTCATCAGACCATCTCGGCACAACCGTCACCTTGCCCCGAACTTTTGAACTACCCTGCATGCTTTCCGATCACAGCCCCGCCAACATCATAGCGCCCTCTTCCCCCTTCTCGAACGTCTATTTCTCGACCTTCCGCGAGCCGCAGAAGAAAATTGTCGACACACACACCGTGCTCATTTCCGTCGACGGCGCGTGCTCGGCCAATGGGACCCCGTCCGCCCGCGCAGGTGTGGGCATCTTCTTTGGCCCCAACTCGCCGCACAACGTCTGCGAGGCGATCTCCGGGACGCAGACGAGCCAACGCGCAGAGATTCTCGCCGCCACCAAAGCTCTGCACAGAGCTTCGACTCTGCTTGAAAATGTGATGGGCGTGGGTTGTATTGTGCTCCTGTGCGACTTCAAGTACGTCGTCGGTGCCATGACGGAATGGATCTTCGCTTGGAAAGAGAATGGATGGAAGAACGCCAACGGAGGGCGGGTCGAGAATAAGGTTGATTTTCAGGAGCTGGATGAACTCATTGAGAGGCTTGTAGAGGATGGCTTGGACGTCAAGTTTTGGCTCGTTGGAAGGGAGGACAATCTTCAGGCGGATCGGTTGGCCAAAGCAGCGTGTGCATGAACCTCAGACCAATGTAACGTTTCCCAGCCATTCTCGACATTGACGCGTCTGACTTGCCCTCTTCACTGTAAAAACTTTCAGGCACGATTCTCATCTTGTTCATCGACATATGATACATAGACTTATCATATAAATCATGCCGTCGCCGCAGGCCAAAATTAACCCATTGGTGATTGTCCAAGCGTCCAGGTTTGATTCCGTCTTCTCTGCATCGTTCTATCACGGTGTCGCAAGAATTATCGGTGCCGGACGTTCAATTTAAAACTCTGAAGTATAACCTGAACAGACTAGGTGGAATCCTTTTGGGTGACCCAAATCCAGTTTTTTCGTGATGCGGACTCGTACGCAGCGATAACTAAGTATCGATTATACCCGCTCTTGCCATCAAGGCCTGGCGAGTTCGAAGCCAATGCTTATGCTAATGAGACGAAGGTTAACACGTCTATTCAATTCGTTGATCCCGTGTTTCAACATAGAAAGCCGACTTGAGATTTTGAGGCCCTTTATCTGAGCAGCTTCCTCTAAGACGAGAAAATCCTCCTAACCACAACTTATCCCATCATATCCTAATCTTGAATTACTCTTTTCCCTTGTTTCAATTATCAATTGCGTAGTAGTAGTAGTAGATCTGGCCGTTTGAAGATTTGCTATTCCTTACTTTAGTGCCGAGGTGCTTGCTCAGCTCAGGAACTACATTTTTCCCTCTACGAGCATCTCGAGCAATGACTATTAAGGTTATTTCATCGATAATGCGAACTTACGCTCTGCGGTTCCCAGCCGCCCCCGACAGGCTCCGACTCGCTCGGTGTTGAGATAAGTATCCAACCTGAGGAGGGGGTGAGGGCTTCCTTGAAAGGTGAAGCTGAGGTTCGGGTAGTTAGTTTCATGCAGTCTGTTTTATAAGGGTGCTTAACGTTTACTTACAGTGGAGACGTGTTACACAGAACGATATGTTTGGCCATGTTAGAGATCAAGGAGCAACATCGCCATCATTCCTTTTCTCTCCACGTCTCTCCACCAGATGCATCGCGCCTTAGAACTCCTCGACATTGTAGAGATTATATGCGAACAAGTTGCCGATCAACCTATCTTTAGTCGATATCGGAGGGAACTAGCGTACCTGGCCACGACGTGCAAATCTTTCCTCAATCCAGCACTGAATGCGTTGTGGAGAGAGCAGGAAACGATTTGCAACGTGCTGAAATGTATGCCTGAAGATTTGTGGGATATATCAGAGTATAATGACGGAGACGATCTTCATCTTGACATCGTAAGAGCCTCGATCTTATATTTTCTTTTTGCTTTCTCATTTTGCCGCAGAGTCTACGGCGCACCATCACCTCCACAGACTGGGTGCGGCCCCTCTTCTATTTGCGACGTGTGAAGTCTTTTCACCTGCGCGCATCTTTTGAAACGTCTCATTTGTTCGAGGCCCTCAGTTTGTCCCTTCCTGGAGACTACTTATTCCCCAATCTTGAGGAGCTTGATTGGTCTCCAGAGCCGTGCTATGAATCGGGCACCACTTTCCACCACATTCGATTGTTCCTCGCACCCCATATTCGAAAACTCTTTCTTGGAGGTATTGAAACCTTCACAGAACTCTCAATCCTTTCTAACCTAGCGCTCAAACGACCATCATTGAGACACGTCACGGTTCACGCCGATTTTCCATCCCCCGTCGACCTTCCTAGTCCTTGGGACAACGCTACCCCAATCATGTCCAACTTTGTGTGCAGTTTGATGCATCTCGAATCGCTTAACGTACCGTTGCTGGATAATGTGGCTCTTGCGCATCTGTCGGAGCTTCCTAGCCTGACCAGGTTGACCATGAAATCCTATGAGCCTCTCACATCCTCTTTTCAACCCCAAGCGGATTATATTCCCTTTTCCGCTCTGACCGACCTCGCAACACCGACGATGGTCGGCACAATCGCACTCCTCACCAAATTCTCAGGATTTTCCTTGGTGAATCTCACGATCCTTTCCAGCTGGATTCAGCCCACCAAGGATGTTGCTGGACGCTTCTATTCGGCGCTCGCAACTCATTGCTCGCGTTCGTCTCTCCAATCCATTCGAATATTCGGAGATCACGACAATCCGACCAAACTCAACCCGAATCAGACTCACATATATTCTGTGGGTGGGGACATAATCGAACCTTTGTTCTCTTTCGCCAACCTAGTCTCAGTGGCGCTCTCACACCCCGTGGGATTCGACTTGGACGATGCTATAATCCTGCGTATGGCTCGTGCATGGCCTCGCATAGAGGACTTGACGCTCGAAGCCGGACCCTCCCGTCATATGCGCTCGAGGGTTACACTCGAGGGCGTTTATGCCTTTGGAATGCACTGTCCCAACCTCGAGGTCCTCGGAATGACCTTCGATGCTACTGTAGTCCCAAAAATCAGATCTCGTAACGGCAAGAAAAGGAAGTCGCAGCGCACCCTTTACTCTCTACATGCAGCAATCTCTCCCATCAGTAGTCCCGGCCGCGTCGCCAAATTCTTGAATGTGATATTTCCCCAGCTGACAGAAATAAGGACTTTGTACGAGGAAATTTTTGAAGAGCAGGCGGATGAAGATGAGGGCGACATCGTTGTAGACCCTGAAGTGATTGCTTCGCACGACAGCTGGAAAAATGTGGAACACGAGCTCTGAGCAAGTACCCACTACTCTATCTCGTTCTTGTATTGATTCCCTCAGCAGATCTGTTTTTCCGTCAGAATGACATTCCATTTCCGTATCTCGACCCATTGACTTTCTATTCAAACCTTCTTGAATTTCGGATAAATCGGGACCGCCGCTCTGTCCTGGATCAGAATAATGCCCCAGGAAGAGCGATATTCGGCGCCGGGACGAGGACTTGAACTGCGCTTGTACCTTTGGTCCTGCTTCAGCGCAGAGATGAACGAAATTTCTTGGCGTGGATTCGCGTATGGTGCATTTGGCTGGGAGTGAATCAGAGCGATCGTCGTAAGGTTGTCGGGTGAAGACATTGTACCGTGGCGAAAAAGTTATTAATGTCTTTTTCGAGTTACTTATTGACCTGAGTATGCCCTCAATCGATTGTGAGCTCGGATATGATAAACCTTACGATCCTTTTCAGCCGGATTGAAACCACAAAGGATGTTTTTGACAGTTCTACTAGTACTCGGTACTTGCGACTCACTGCTCGCACTCATCTCTCCAATCCATTCAAATATTTGGGGATCATAATTTCATACTTGCGCTGACTCACCTTGCAGGCTACTTTTTGCTGTCGGACCGTCGTTCTGACCGACCGCCCCTCTTGATAAATCGATTGCCCGTTCAAATTTTCTTAGAGCACTCCCATAATCCGACGTTAAAGCTAGGTCTTCTGTCGTCAGGTACCAAAATTTACCTTACCTACCTTTACCACTTTACCGGTTTCCTTGGCGTATGGATATATATATATATCCTTTTTTTTCTTTGTTGTTTCTGTGAGGTGGGAGGGGTCTCTGGGTCAAGAAGGAAAGTAGGGGAAGGCAGAAAGACAGACATTCGTTTTTTGATTTGATTTGAACATTTGAAAAATGTCGTTAGACAACCAACTGCAGATAGGTATGCAGACAGACGCATAATAGCACGTTCGTTTGGTTTCGCATGTTTTGAAAGATAATTGACGAGTAGCAGGAATGCGGATGGAAGGAAGAGAGGGATGGGAAGGAGGGCGAGAGAATCAGACGTGGTGTTGGGAACACTGTCTCGAAGCATCTATTGCCAGGTCAGTGGTAGCGTGCAAGGCCTGCCGGGTTCGATTCCTGGTGTCTGAATGAGCGGATTGAGGTGTGACTTTTTTTTTGGTCGTGCGGATTTTTTTCGAAACATAACGGCTGCGGTATAGTATGAAATATTGTGGGTAATCCCAACATGCAGAAAATTTATCGTGCTGGTGACTTGACCTTGTGGTTGCCACTTGAATCGTACGTACTTCACCGACCTGAAAAGCACGGAAAGGAATTCAGACATAGTGTAGTGACTGGGAGCACTGCCTCAAAGCATGGAATATATATATCGCAACGCCGAGGATAACCAGTCCGAGGCCGTCCCGGGTTCGAGTCCCGGTGTTTGAATGGTGCGAAAAAGATTTTCCATGTTTTTCGGTCGTGGAGACTTTTTGAGTGAGCGAGGTTAGCGTGGACATTCGGCTTGCCATTCCATTTGTCTACCGTTTGGTAATGTGGAGGTAATCCAATAAGGATGTTGGGCATTTTTTTGGTTTGCTGTTCAACGTGCGGTTGCGAACCCGGAGCATTCTCAACTGAAAGCCCTTACCGTCCAGTAGAAAAGAACTCAGGCATGGTGTAACACTGCCTCAAAGCATTAACGGTCTTGTTACTTTGAAGTAAAAGGCTGTCTCGGGTTCGAGTCCCGGTGTCTGAATTTGGTCGTTGACACGTTCCTTTTTCTTTCAGTTTTCATGAGAGAGGTGTTTAATTACTGTAATATCACGACAGCCCAGTTCGGTTTTGTTGAAGCGCTGAATCGTTTCGCAGCACAAGGCCCAAGTTTTCATTCAACAACAAGAACGAGGAGACGAGAGAAGAACCCATGGTGGAAACGTACCTAACCCACCCTAGCAGTAAGCAAAGGAACTGAGACATGGTGTAGATTGGTAACACTGCCTCGAAGCATTGACGAGTGGAACATGCGGAGTTTCGAGGTCGTCCCGGGTTCGATTCCCGGTGTCTGAATGGTTGTGGAACGGTATTTTTTGGGTGTATATACGTAGATTTTAAGTAGCATCGTTTTTACAGCAATATCACGACATTTTTTTCCTGTTCTCCTTGGTTCCGCGGTATTACAAGGATATCGCGCATTTTTTGGCGTACTGTTCAATTCGCTTGCATGGTAAACCAGAAGGACTATAAATCTGGTGTACCTAATCGACTCTGGCAGTGTATACAGGAACTCAGACATTGTGTAGGTTGGTAAACATAGGGTGTGATAAAGATCTTAGATAACATGGAAATCCGTCATTCAAGGTGGTCCTGATATTTAGTAGTTCTCCAGTCCAACTCAGAGCAATTTTGTAGTCGAATTGCTCCATCACTCTGAGTCGCACTGAGAGTTCAACAAAAATTCAAACTGGTGCATACCTGAATGGATGCGGAGCACGCGGTGTATCACAGACTGACAGCGGATCACACGGACCGTGATTCAAACCCCGCTCGGTATCAAGATCAGTATCAGTATCTTCCACCGCCATCAGTCGTCTTCTCGATGTTGTCGGCATTCATTTGACGGCTTTCGCCTTTCACTCGATAGTCACTGATATGCGATTCCAGCCAAGCCTGCGCGCGGGGTGCTTCGACACCATCAGAAGCTGTGATTCAGAATTCAGATTTCTCGACCTGATTGCGCACAAGCTGCGTCGTATGGCCATCAACGGATTCGTGGCGACCTGCTTCTCGACTGGCCTTTACGGTCAATCTCAGCTCACTTTGACACCAAATGCTTCCGAAGGCGCTGCGATGTTACGGGCGCTCGCAAGTCCATATATGGACTTCGGTCGACGCCATGCCCCGTCCCCTCCTGTCCTCTCCCTCGATCCTGCCGCTCCCTTCGTGCAATGCTTGCCGCCATTCCGTTCCTTTTGATTCCTCTCTTCTCTGCGGTACTTGCAGCGAATGACTGGGATGTTGCCTGCAAGGGCGAATGCTCCTACGATATCCCAGATGCCGCGGTGTCTGGAACGTTGACAATCGTGAGTTCCACAGCTATATACCACCGCGGCGTGCTTGATGTAGACTCCCGATTTACAGTCTGGTGGATCCAATGCAGTTTCCGACATCACCCCCGCTGGAGGGTGGACCATCCTCGATTGCGACGCCCGCTCTCTGACACAGAACATTCGTCTTGTATGCCATAGCTCCGCCTGCGAGCACCTCTTCGAAGGACATGGCGCTATCGACACCTTGATTCGTTTACCGGAGACAGTGCGTGGCAAAGACCGTTTAACCTCTTGCGGCGCCTAATTTTAATCTAACTACTCAGTGCGGACCAAATGCATTCGCCCGTGTTTCCGATATCCATGTCGACGCCGACCAGGCGCTCCCGAGTGACGTAAAGGCCGCCATTACCCGGCCAGGAAACATCACCAGCATGGTCTTTGTCCTGTCGGTCGATACCAATTTCGCTGCTGTTAATGCAACGAAGTTCGTGGATATATGCATCCTTCCTTCAAGTACTAATCCCGAATCCCAGAACCGGCCCTGTCTCTTTCAGTCTCGAAGGATACAACTTCCCAGTGGCCCTTGACGCTTCCACCACCAAACGGGATGCTCGGGCACTCAAGACTAGAAGTTTGATTTTTTTTTTTCATCTGTCCGCATTGGCGTTGAAAAATTATTTCAGACTGGACGGCGTTCAACAGCACGAACTCGTTTGACCTGTGAGCAATCCTAAACCCGCGCATATGAACCATTGTTGACATTCATGAAGGCCCCCTCTTCACATCGATGAGACCTTCCCTCTCTTTTCGGCATCGGTCGACTGCACCGACTTTAGCGCCTCTGTCTCCGCTAACTTCACGACCAAAGTCGATGCAACAGTGTCCATCGGCCTCATTGCTACTGGAACGGTCATTCCTCCGGTGATCGATGATTTGGCTGTGTACGCCGGAGTCGATAGCAGCATTCTCGCGACGCTGGATCTCACATCCTCTGCCACGGTTCGTTTTACTTCGGTCCATACAGCACTTGGCCGGCTCACTCCGACATGACAGGGAACAATTTCAACCGGCAAGATGAGCTTGTATTCGACGGCACTCGCTGGCGTCGACTTCCCCGGTATTTTTACCCTTGGGGTATGTGGATAGTTCTTTTTCGGGGAGCAAAGTATTGACTCCTCGCTCCCAGCCGACATTCGATATCTATGGCGATCTGGAGGCAACTCTGGACGCGGATTTCTCCGTCTCTGTGGACCTAGCCTATAACTTGGACGCTGTCCGTATGTTCTATCCTCCCGATGCAGAGGCGTCATCTGGGAGCTCCTCGCCCGCCACCAGCTGTGAGTCTCCGTTGAACTTCAATTAATGTATCCGCACGCTCAATGTTTCACGCATAGCCGTCGTCATCTCCGCCGTCCCCAACCTGAGTATCAACAGCAAGGTCCAGCCGATCCTCACTCCCGAAATCAAGCTCGGCTTGGAAGCATTCAGCCTAATCAAGGCCTCCGTGTCGCTCGACGTCGAGGGCAGTCTCACTGGTACCTTGAACATCGACGGCTCTGGAAACGCTTCGGTGAGCACGACCGGCAAGGGAGCGTCAGGCGAGATCGAAGCCTGCGTGGACTTTGGCGCCGCGCTCTCCGTGAACGTCGAGGCGGAGGGCTCTCTCGACCTGCTGGGCCTTTCAAAATCCGCTGACTACACGCTCTTCTCGGACTCGTGGGATCTGTATAATAAATGCGCCTCGACGAGTGGAAGTACCAAGCGCGATTCGGCGCGCGTCTCGTCTGGGCTTGGGCGACGCGCCGACTTGACCTGCCCGACGTCGTCCATGGTCACCTCCATCGAGAAGATCATCGATGAGGTTATTGCGGATATCAAGTCGAGCACATCATCATAGAGTTCATTCATTCACTTTGGGTTTTATCTTGGTCATGGTACTTATACCCCACATTCATGTACATTCGCATGTTACGTAGTTTCTCAGTTTTGTAGCATTAGCCTCATACCCCTCATTCAATGCGAGCTTGGGCGCCCAACATCTGTTGAATCTGGTGCGGTCACGGTGATTAAGAACCCCGGTCAGAGTCGTCAAGAAGCCAAGAAGTTACTTACACGCAACTTGAAGCCAGTGAGTGGGTGAAGTTTGGATTCAACTACCTATCTAAATAGTATTCTAACGTCTTGTATTCAAATCTCCTACATTAACCTCGTACCCAAGATCTTACTTTGTTGTGCATGAATGTTGACTTGGAACGGAACAAGCGCCGCAGCGCGTCAATTGAATGCGGTCACGTGTTATTCCGGATGCAGAGCGAGCGCGTAACCGTCCGAATTTCCTAGGAGGTTGGCGAATCTCACCAGCTTCTGCGTTTTTAACCTCTTCCTAAGATTGCGAGCTTCTGATTCATTCAGGCCTCCTACCTAGTTAAATTCGTCCTGACTCGTTGCCTTGTAGAAACAATGGGAGTTTTTGCAGGTCTGTGCTGGAAACTTTGTTCTAAGTATGTGCAGCGTGCGGCCACCATGGTCGGTGAGATCGTGTACGACCTCGTGGACGTACGGTGCGGCCGACGCACCATAGTGCTATGGTGTGTTATTTTTGCTCTCCCCTTCCATCATGTACGGAGTCTCGACTACGGCCCATTAAGCCACATTCAGCCTCCATGCGCGGCTCAATTATGAAACACTGGCGTCCAGACTCAAGGCTATGGCCATTTCAGGTGATCTGAATTTCCATGTCACCCGTTCGAAGGGAAAAAACTTCAGTGTTAGGATGCGCGGCTCTCGGGGAGGTAGTGTGGCGAAAGAATAGCATTCTTGGTGCCAGTATTTTGGAACTTCCGGAGTTGGACCGTACAAGACCTACCAAGTATAGACGAGGCCCAGACGGTGAGACTCACCCAGAATGTTTCAAGTTTCTTCATCGACAAAGTGGGTGATCTGAACTCTTGCTTGAATTGTGGCCTAGATGGGCGGAAATGACTCTCACAGCGGCTCGACTAGACTGTAGGCCTACTCATCCGCTTTAAAAAGTCAAGAACGTGGTTCACGTCATCTGATCATGTTCTATTTGGTGAATTCTCGCCAAGGCACGAACCGTCAAGTTCAACACATCGTGGGTTATCGCGACAACCTTTTGATCAATGGTGTGGTCCTCCGAGGCTACAGAGTGTTCTCTGGCGGCGGGCGAGTGACATTAATATTCTGCTCCAGCTACTACCAATTTAGGTTCTACTACGCTTTTGTCACCGAAAAAATGCTTTAAAGCTGGTCTGTGGCCTGTGGTGGACTAGCTTCTAATTGGTCATATGCACAGATAAATTCCCTGAATCGTGGCTTGATCTGTTGTGGAGGAGTTTCTAATTGGTCGTATACACCGTTCCTTCCCCAGGATTGTGACCCTGTGAGAAGCGGGGGATCCCAAATATACTTACGAAACCACTATATATGAGGCACCCTCGAAATGCTCAGTTCAAGGACACCATGGTTGCCCCAAGCTGTTGGATTCCCGGCCTCCTCTTCGTGTTCGACTTCCAAGGAAGTTCCTTCAACTTGGCTAATAGCGTGAACCCAATTATCCTTGCGAACGATCAAGTGAGCGTAAGCGCTCTCAACGAGCAAGTGGGTGCTCTCGTGGCAGGATTATATATGTACAGCACTACAAGCTTACCGCTTGCACAGGTCAACTTCATCCCCGTAAACGCGGCAGAGACGGAATTCATCCTCCGATTCCCCCTCCCCGAACCAGTTGACGTTTCATGGCCGACCAACAATCCCGCAAGCCCGATTCAGTTCTCACAGGCATTCGCACAGCCTGGTGGAGGCATTTTTGAGCTCGTGTGTGCCGGCACGAGCTCCGCTAGGTGCGTCGCGGTGTATTTTCTGTGCCGAAGTCGAAGGAATCCAATTCCGAATTCTGCCAGCATCATTGAAGTCGGCACCGGCTTGGCCCTTACGGCGTGGGAGACGCAACCTGGGAGCCCATTCTCGCCGGTGAGCTTACTGGTCTCGCCATATCAA